TCAGAATGGCTTGTTACTTGTACTCAGTGTTGGGGTAGAGGCTGTTCATCATCAAGATGCCCGAAGTGTATGAAAAAGACAATTTGATGTTCATAATTCTGTATTCCCTGTTTCATTGTACAGTAGCAAATGTTTCAGTGAAAGATTTTACAGTGGGAGTAATTGAACCGAGTTATTAGCAAATAACTGAAAAACACCTGAGTTTTAAAAATTATTTGTACAGCCAACTATTTAGGTTAACCATAAAAAACTAAGTCCACTTAGCTCGCAAACAGAAAACTTTGTTCAACAGATCACTTCTCTATTGCTCCTCAGGGCATCCCCAAAGTACCTCCCAAGTAACCAGTAAGGGCTGAAACAGTTCAAGGAGTCTTTGCTTCCACAGACCCCTCTTTGTCATTCCCCTCATCTGTACAAATTCAGCAGTAGGAACTGTAGCTGCTACAATTCAAGGTTACAGTTTCACAAAGACATGCTTTTTGTAGTGCTAAAGAGATTGGGAAATGAAAGGAACACTTGGTAGATGTCGACTTCAGCTGGAGCTGTGAGTGTCAAATGAGCCAGCACGGGGAATACTCAGCATCACCCCAGTTGTGAGTCTAAAAGGAGGAATGCTTTGCTCCCAGAAGAGGTGAGACACATCTCTGGAGAAGGTCATTCCCTGAGCTGTGTGGCTCCCCAGTTGCCTTTTCTACACCTACATTTGACAGGCATTTCTGATGTAAGCCAGGCATACTGTAAACAATTAAAACTGTATAGCCTTCAGATCAAACAAGCATGCAACTAGCATCATTATGTTCATTAAATAAAACCTTGTCATTTTATGATCAATGACAAATCTAGCTTCAAAGGGAAGCCATTTTAACTGAAAAAGGAACAGCCAAAGGAAAAACCCTCCATCATCTCCATTTTTGCAGTTATAGCAAAACCTATCAGTGAAATTTTGCAAAACACAGTCCTACATATGCATTTTTTGGCACTGCCTAGGGCAAGAATTCCCAAACGGCTGTGTATGTACCACTGAGAGTATATACAGACACCTCAGTGTGGGAAAAGATATAGCACAGAATCAGGACCTGTTACCACTGTCAGTACAAAAAAAAAGTGTGGGACTCTCTCAATTAGTAATTTCAGTCAGTTTTCAAGTCTGTTTCTGACTTGTGTAAAATTTTTTGAGATTGGGGGACCATTTAAGTAATTGTTTTCTCCATTCATTATGTCCTTTATGCTTTTATACTCTGTGAAATACTTCAAGTCCAACTGTTCCACAGCTGATAAGTCACCTCCATTCATACCAAGATCATCCCAAGATCTGCACTGTTCATTTGGGTATATTGTTCATATGTGATAATGTATTTACAGGTTATACATAGTTTGATGGTTTCTGTTTCTCCATCTTTTTTGAGGCAGAAAAAACCTGGAAGCCATTCTCTCAAGTCTGCTGAAAGATGCCATTTAGGGCACTGGTCATGTCACTGCAATAGCAGCTGGCTCACTGATATGAAACCTGTTCAGTGTGTGTCAATGCTTTCTCCTCTTCAAGCCCTTGTGTTCATGCTTTTAACCTTAAAAGCTCATAGTCTCACTGCACGTGTATTTGAAGGGTGTATTGCACTACAATTTTGTTTACTGGTGCTATTTGAACAGAAATTACTGTTTTGTAGAGTGATTATTGCAGTCACCAGAGTGACAGAATTTATGAGAAGGAATGCATACAGACACGAATTTGCAACTTTCATTCATTTCACTGCTGCCACGGCATTTTCAGTTTGTCTACTGTAATTTCACGTCATCCACACCACATCCTTCCTTCGGATCCCCACTTGCAGAGCACCTTCTGTCTCTGCTCACGCTCCCCAGCTGCTCTGACAGACTGGAAGTGGGGGTGGTGCTTGTGTCTTGGCGCTGTGTCCCCAGTGTAGTTTCATTATATTAGAAGGAGGGCCAGGTTAACAAGCTAACATTTTCTTTAAATTGCCTTTGTTTAACAGAAATCACCTTTTCGTAAGACTAAACTATGGAGCTGCAGCTTTGCTGTGTAATTTAGTGTAGTGCAATGCAGAGCACTGAAGAGAACTGATGACATCTGTTAACTATAAAAGTAAAGCTCAGGTGATTCTTCAGTGTAATCAGAAACCTCATGTAGGTACAGCTTCATTGAGAATTTTGTTGACTGTGTGAGGTGGTTTTAAAACCATTTATTTTCAAATGAACCTTATATAACTGCTGTGGTAATACAAGAAATCAGGAGGGAATTAGCTATCTGTTGGAGGACTGGTTGGCATATTTCTGTTGTTTTGGTTTTTTTCAACTACAATTGTATGAGTGCATTTTTTCAAGAGGTGTGAGGAGCACTGTGTCCAGCAACACTCACTAAAACAGTTTTATGCCATTGATTTTTGTTAATCGGATCTTGTCTGATAAAATCTTAGGAAGGCTTCTCACAGCTGCTGGAGGTGTGTGAGTGAGATTGCTCCTCGGTGACAGTGTACCAGGAGTATTGTGTTTCCTCATCTAACAGGTGCTTTGGTGATAGTTTCTCAGCATCCAGAGAAACAGTAAGATAACAAGTTTAATTGCAAAAGCACTGAGTTATGTACTGAAAAGTTTCTTCTCTCACATGCTATGAGGTGAGTTGTGCTGCTCTCTGGGGATCAGGACTGAACAAAGAGGTTTAGCAATGTGCACAATCATCTGTCTCCTGGCAAAGATGGGGCTTGAGATATGCCAGCAGCCAGCTAAAAAGTCTGTAAGATACAAAATGCAATAATGAGATGTAAAATGTCATACTTTAGATTTATGTCTGCCATTGATCCACAGTCATGGTTTTCCACTTTTTTTACTTTTTCCCTCCATGTTTGTTGGTTGCCATTTTTATGCCATCCACCTGTTGTTTCAATCAGAGACCATGTTCAAATTTTCTGAGCTGTTGACTTGGAAACTAGCTGCTGGGGTTTTTAGCAGTCACCTTCAGTGCTCTTGGACAGCAGCTCAATTTTCTCATTCTTACATAGATTATCCAATTTATCTGTCATGTATTTTTAAGTTAGTTCTGTTTTAAGAAAGTTGTGTTACCATTGTTGATTAACTCAAATACACATAAATATAAATTAAGGGGAATCTGATTCTCTAATTCTGCTTAGTTTTATGCCATGTATTTATCGATACACATAGAGATTTCAGTGTTCAGTGATTAGGCCCTAGACCTCTTAGGTGCAGGCTGTGTATGCTCAGTGCTTGCTTTCTTCCTCGTTGCAGTTTCCAGTAATGTGCTTAGATGTCCTACAAAACTAATAAACAGGGAAAAACACTGCCCTGCAGATCTTAAAGTCTGTTTGGCAGCAGGAGGTCCAGCAGCTCATAAACTAGACCAGGACTTAAAGAGCAATACAGAATAAGAAATTGACCTAAGGATTACATAAATGATACTGCAGTTTTTCAGTAGGGGTTTTTTATCTGTCCTTTTTTAGTGCCTTGTGATCCTATGGAATTCTATTCATAGGTGGACCTGCCATTTCCTAAAAAGTGTCCAAAGCATCCCAAGCATCCCCCAAAACTGGGAGAGTGCCAGGAAGCAAAATTAGGGTGGGAGGGGAGAGAGTGGAAGCTGTTAGCAGGAAAAAGAGAAAAGCAGCAACAAAATAAAATGTGTAGGGGGAAGGGAGAATCAGGGAAATACATACCTTGGTTTAAAATGTGGGGGGGCATTCTGTTTCTCAGCTTTTTTTTGCTAGCTATCTGTGTTAATAAGTGAGCTAGCTGGGAGAAGTATCTTGAAAAGAGATAAAGAAAGCACTACTGTTGAGCGAGCCCAAAATCACATCCCCAGCCTGCACAGAATTGGGCACTGCAGTGATACAGGGGAAATCCCTTAACGGACAAAGCTATAAATGAAACTAGCGTTGACAAGGGGAAGAGGCACAGCTATATTTAACGGAAGTATTTTCATTTGAAAGCTGCTTTCTTTTTCTTTTTTGGGGGGAGTTTGTTGTTTGTTGTTTTTTCTTGTCTAGCTGGTGGAGATGATGAGAGCTCTTCCTGTTTGAGACAGTGCATGGGTGGTTTCCCCAAGGCTTTTAATGTTAGATTAATGCTCTGGAGACAGCGTGATGATAAATGGGTTCCTACAGTTATATCTACATCCTGTTCCCCCTCCCCCCTCCCACAGCTGCCCCTCTGTACAGTCTCTCTGCAGTGCTCGCCTCCATACCCAGCAACTGTTCTGAGCAACTTCAACCAGAATTTAAGGCAGCATTATTTAAAATTTGTCTGCCAAAATTCTTTAATTTTCAGTGCTGTCACCTTCCTTGCCACTTACTTAATCAGATAATGAAATAGGGAAGAGAAAGACTTCTGGCTGAAGTACAGGCCACCTTGCTAGCTTGTCATCTACTGTGTGGCAGATCCCAGTTAATTACTTCTGCTATTGCTGTTCACATACAGAAAATAGGTTTACAGGGGTGGCCTTTCTGTGGTTTCACATTTTAACAGCAGTGCTCTGCCCATCATATTGTACTAAGCAATAAATGAGCAAAGGATTTGAAATATTTTCCCTGGTATAAGGGAATGGCTCCTCTGTGTCAGCTGCATCTATGCGTTGATATTTTACAGCTTGCATGCCCGTAGGGCTTTAAGTGCACAGCATCAGCAAACACCCAGCACTGAAATTCAGCAAAGAAAATGGAGATTTGAGGCACATTTTTTAGCTGGACCTGCCCTTGTGGCGATTGCTGGTGTTTCTGTGTTTTGTTTCAGCTAGTGCAGTTATTTTGCTCTGCATGCATTTCAATTTCTATATGGCTTCCCCTATATATGGGATGGGGGGGATGGGCAGTCAGGGTGGCTCGTTGACCTCTCCAGCTCCGAGCAGCCAGCCCACACCCTCCTGCTTCCACGGCAGCGTCTCTTAGATCTCAAGGCAGAATTATTTTTAGACCGTGAAGGTGTATCTGACCGGTGCATTTAGATTTCATATCATGGCTTCCTTTTCCTGCTCTCAGGTTTCTCCCACTCGGCCTTTACCTTCGGTATCGAGAGCCACATCAGCCAGTCCAACATCAACGGAACACTAGTGCCACCTGCCGCACTCATCTCCATCCTCCAGAAGGGGCTCCAGTATGTGGAGGCCGAGATCAGCATCAACGAAGTAAGTGCCACCCCTGCCACC